AATTAAAATTATGATTAAAAATAAAAATTAAAAAAAAAAAAAGTATTAGAAAATTTTTACTTTGAAAATTTAATTAAATAAGTTTTATTATCAACATCATAAATATTAACAACTCGAACACCAAGAAAACTATATGTAAATAAATATTTTTTTTTTTTGTTTAAAATTAACAAAAGTCATATGAAAATAATAATACCGTTTACGAACTGCTGCAATACATGCTTTTAGATCAAGAGTCGTAAATCGAGTCTTTTTAGCTGGCATTGTACGATGATTAAAATAATTTTGTAATTGAAACTTATTTCAACATTATTATTTTATATCAGTCATTGAGAATGTTATTCGTTTGCTAAATATATTAACCAATAGTACTTTTAATCATCTAGCGCCATCAAATGAAAATCTAAAATGCGAAATGAATGTTTTGATAATTGAATAACATATCAGACTAAATCTTTCGCCAATGTTCATCAAGAATTATTTGATGTATTTTATTTTCAATTTTTTCTCGTTGTCATACACGTAAATAACAATTCAAATAATGATTTATATGTAGAATTTCATCTCCAATAAGAATTTTCAATGAGTAGAATCTTTTGAAGATCTAAACTCAAGTTTTTCATGTTCTGAGACCCATAAACTATTCAAAATGATAGAGTAAATAGCTCTCCGCAAAGTTTTTTTGATCGAGCATAAATTAACATTAAGGAAAGCACCAAAATGACTTGCGTAAAAAAAGATTGGAAATAAACTCGGTCAAATAAGTTTGAGAGCCACTGAGCAGTTGTCTGCCGCTCGAAAAAGTTACTGCAAATGGGTTTTTTCCTAGACGATGATAAGAATAAGATTCATTAAATGCTACGATTCAAGACGTTTTTTGAAGATAATAACAAATTCTAGAAAATAAACGGCTTCTGGTTGCTTCACTTTTTTGTAGACAATACAAAACACAAACGTATCTGTCATTATTGATGAAATTTGAATTTCTTATCATGAGCAATGGCTTGAAGAGATAAAAGTACAAGGAGGTATTCATTGTCGCGCCACTTGTGTTTATCTTATACTGAAATACTACCTATTTAGAATTATGTTTTATAAATTAAAAAGTATATATTTAGTAAATGTGGAAGTTCTTCGAAAGAATTGTTTGATGATTCATAAGTATGTGATTTAGATTCTTTAATACGACGTCAAGGAAAACTTGAATTAATTCATTTAATGATTTATATTCATCCTTATAACTATGTTCGCAATCGATATACCTATCTGATTTATTATTTCAATAATCGAAATAATAAATATAAAGTAGTTTTGATATATATTTCTATGTAATATCCTTACTGAAAGAGTATTAACAGGAATATAATGTGATATTCATCGTTATTATGACGTTTCTTCTGTTTATATTAGATAACATGCTATTTGAACATTATCTTAAATAATTAAAACTGACACAGATAAATAGAAATCATCTTGTATAGTGATGCACGGATTGTATTTCTAGGAAATAATGAAATTTTTAATTAATATGATTTTCGTTGAATAGGTTGTGATGTATCAATAGTAAATACCTATATTAATACAGAATCCATAAATAACAAATTTTTATTATAGATTCATAATCATACACAAGACTACTGATAAAAAATAAAACGTTTTCTATTTGCATGTTTTTGATAAGAAAGCAGCTATTTACATATATGTCTACGAACGTGTGTATATACGTTTTGTTTTCATAGATATATATATATAAGTCATTTAAGGAATTACAAATAAATGATTGATAATAATGAAAATATTCGTTAAAATACCGTTTGCTTTAAAGATTATATTCAAACATTAAACATAGTTAATAGAATCTTTAATTTACAAAAAAAGAAACGACATTCATTGTAATTTTGTTTACATTACAAAGATACATATTCAATACTTAACTGCATTGAATGAAATGCTTATTAACAATTGAACTGCAAAAGAAAAAAAAACGGATAACATGATATTATACTTGATTCATTTTTACAGAAAGTAATATTTAAAATCATATTAATATATCATACACGAGCGACACTACAAAAAAAATATTCTTTTAGAGGCAAACTTTAAAAAAAATACCAAGTAAGTAAGTCATGATGTTATCAATATCTATAAAAGAGTAAGTATTTATCTATTACGACACTATTTCATAGTACTTGGCATGAAGGACACGTATTGGTTTTGTACTTTTATCATTTTATATTTATTTGCCAAGGGTTTGATGCACTTTGTACTAACGCTTTTTTTTTAGATTTCTTTTTTCGACGAACGTCCTAACACAACAACGATGTCTAATGTTCCAACAAAAAAACAACCATACAAAGTAGCTGATTTAAGTTTAGCTGAATGGGGTCGAAGAGAAATCACATTAGCCGAATATGAAATGCCCGGTTTAATGCAATTACGTCGTACTTATGGTCCAACACAACCATTAAAAGGTGCGCGTATTGCTGGTTGTCTTCATATGACGGTTCAAACAGCTGTACTCATTGAAACATTAATTGCATTAGGAGCTGAAGTATATTAATTTAGTATAATTGTTTTATTTTTCTATAAATAATCTTATTATATTTAATAATAGGTTCAATGGAGTAGTTGTAATATTTTTTCAACACAAGATCATGCTGCTGCTGCTATTGCTAAAGTTGGTATACCTGTTTATGCTTGGAAAGGTGAAACTGATGAAGAATATATTTGGTGTATTGAACAAGTAAAAATTTATTTTATTATGAAAATAAAATTCACATTTGATATATATATTATTTTAGACAATTTATTTTGGTAATGATAATAAACCATTAAATATGATATTGGATGATGGTGGTGATTTAACTGGTATTGTTCATGATAAATATCCAGAATTAACATCTGGTATATATGGTATAAGTGAAGAAACAACAACAGGTGTACATGCACTTTATAAAATGCTGAAACAAGAAAAACTAAAAATACCATCTATTAATGTTAATGATTCAGTAACAAAATCAAAATTTGATAATTTATATGGTTGTCGTGAATCACTTATTGATGGAATAAAACGTGCAACTGATATAATGATTGCTGGTAAAGTAGCCGTTGTTGCTGGTTATGGTGACGTTGGTAAAGGTAGTGCACGAGCTTTAAGAAATTTTGGTGCTCGTGTTCTTGTTACAGAAATTGATCCAATTAATGCTTTACAAGCAGCTATGGAAGGTAAAGAATTTTTTTTTTTAGAAAGGAAGAGTAAAATTATTGTTTTTCTTTTTTGTTCGATCGATTCTAAGCTACTAATGTAGACGTTTTTTGTGTTTGAAACTTTGAGATATCTTCGTTAGATGATAAATCTATATCATTATTTCATATAAAATATTTTTCATTTTTTTCTAAAAATAATTTCAGGTTATGAAGTAACTACAATGGATGAAGCAAGTAAAATAGGACGTATTTTTGTAACAGCAACTGGATGTCGAGATATTATTTTATCTCAACATATGCTTCAAATGCCTGATAATGCAATTGTTTGTAATATCGGTCATTTTGATATTGAAATTGATGTTGCTTGGTTAACTAAAAATGCAGTCTCAAAAGAAGTGATCAAACCACAAGTAAATCAACAACAAAAACAAAACTTTATCATTTAACTTCTAAAACTTTTTTTAAAGGTTGATCGATATCAATTACCAAATGGACGTTCAATTATTTTACTTGCCGAAGGTCGACTTGTCAATCTTGGTAAAATTAAAAAAAAAAGAACAATTAATATGTAATATTATTGTTCTTTTTTATTATAGGTTGTGCTCATGGTCATCCAAGTTTTGTTATGAGTAATTCATTTTCAAATCAAGTATTAGCACAAATTGAATTATTTACTAAAAAAGGTCACTATGCTATCGGTGTTTATGTTTTACCTAAGAAGGTAAAAATGAGTGTTTGTTTTTTTTTTCTATTATTTTTTTTTCATTTCTAGCTTGATGAAGAAGTTGCTGCTGCTCATCTTAATCATTTAGGTGTTCGTTTAAGTAAAATGACTACTGAACAAGCACATTATTTGGATTTAAATGCAGCTGGTCCATTTAAACCCGAACATTATCGTTATTAAATTATCCAAAGAATATAAATATTTCACCGAAGCCTTTCTCCATTTAGTTTTAAAAATAGTTTTGTGATCATGTTTTCTGTCACAATAAAAAATAAATATGGAGATTATTATAATAAAATCCAATTGAATATATAAATGATTTCAATTTTTTATGAATTTAGGTGAAAATCAAAGCTATTTCATTGAACAAGATTTTTTCTTTTTTGAGTGTTTGATCGTTTTTCGAAAATTACTTGATTAAAAGCTATCATTATTCAAGAAGGAGCAGGTCTTAATCTGAGATAGTCAATTTGAAAAATCTTCTGTCTTGTTGCATATTTATATATGGGCGTGAACAGTTACTAGGATACCCCTAATGTATTTGTTTATACAGCTTCAACAGGTTATCATGAAAATATGATTTTTTTATCAGTTGTAGTACATATGTAGTCCTAATGATCTGCTATTGTTTGAGCTCTCTATGTAGCAAGGAATGAGGATTATTAAATGTTCTCTTATGATCCTTATATTTAACGTATTTTGCATTTAATTTATTAACATTTCGTTTTCGGTACACACTGATGCACAATAATTCTTCATTCTATTGCCTCTATGTGTTTCAGTTACACATTTTTCGTTCTGTGTCTATCAGATTTTCCTTACTTTGATCACTTTTTTCTTTTCTTCGACCTTATTTCACTTGTGCACGTTTACTTATATTTTCTTTACTATGTCTTCTCCACACATTGAATGGAGTTGTTCTGAATGTCGGTCAGTTATAACTGATCAACGAAAATATTGTGCTGTTTGTCACTAAATGTTACGATGGACATGCAATGGTTCAGGAAGATCAGGCTTATACACTAATTATTATCGGCATCGTGGTAGCTGCAGTTCCTGTATTGTAGAGATGGACGAAGATCAACAACAAGAGATACGAGATAAACAACTTTCGATTCAACAAGAATTTCATACGCTTGATGACAGTAAGTAAAATTAATTTCGCAGCTGACATTTACGCTGGTAATTCGACTATTTTATGCTTTAAGAGTATTTGGCAATTATTTCTAAAAAAACCGCTTTTTTTAATGTCTTGTAGCACAACGTCCATGGTCAGAATGGCAGCGAAGTGATGAATCTTGTGTGCAACATACTGGACTTGATGTTGAACAAGTACAAGAATTATATGATATGTGTGAAGAACCACTTAAAAAGTATCGTCTTCATCGATATGAGCAACAAACAGATATTACCGACAGATCATATTTATCTCCTATGAATTTACTCGTAGTTACATTATGGTACTTGAAGCATTATCATTCAAAACGTTACATTTCTACAGAGCTGAATTTGGGTCAATCAACAGTGAAATATTTCTTAACAGAAGTTCTGGATATATTACATTCATGTGTATATCAGGAATTAGTATCTTTACCAGCTGATTTAGCTAGTAGAAGAAGTAAACATGGACCTCAACAACATCACAAGTTAATAGTTGATTCAATTTCTATTGCGATTCCCGAGCCTTCTGATGCAAACCAACGTAAAGCATATTGTTATGGAAAAAGCTCAACGAATTATGCCATAAAAGTCCAAATAACTTGTGACTTTAACCATCACATAGTACACGTATCAGACTGTTATCGTGGTAGTACACATGATATTACAATTTTAAGAAATTCTGGACTGTTGGATTATGTAGAAGAATCAGTTCAAATTATTGCTGATAAAGGATATATCGGTGAAGAATACGTTATTACTCCAAAAAAAACCTCATGGACATGAATTAACGGATGAAGAGAAGAACTTTAATCGTGATATTAATAGTGCACGAGCAGCTATTGAAAACATTAATCAAAGACTCAAAGCCTATGCTATTTTGGGAAATGTCTACAGAGGAGCTATCGATGATTTTCATAAAGGGTGTGGGTGTGTGAGTATGGGGGTTTATCGTGATATATCGGGGCACACACCCACACCCCTTACCGTTGTTGTTTTGTTGTTGTACGACATTATTCACGTAATGAAAGATTCATTTTTTCACGTGTACATAACAGACATAGTACGAAAAAAAGGCTTTTTTCACACGAATGATGTTTAACAACAACAGAATAACAAAAGTAATCCCAAGTAACTTCATGAATAAGTATGCCACTATTACTTTTCTCATCTACAATTAATGGATTAATTATTAAACTAAAACGAAATAAAATATTTTAGTACAACAATTGGTTATAAAAATTTACATATTGATATTTATTGTTTATCATCATCACTTACATTTTTTTTTGAAATTGTCGATGAAAAAGTAATTGATACAAAAGAATTTCGAGAATTTGAAGTAAAGCAAAAAAGAAATTCTTCTTTTTTTTTGAATTAATTAATTTTATTTTAAGAAAAATTGTATTGTTTCATCATTAAACCAATGGATACCAACAACCACCATAGATTTTGAGTATTTCATGTCAAATTTAGAAACCGAAAATTCATATAAACCATTGGGTGACCAATTATTGACTTATACATTACAAGAAGAAGAATCTTCTCCTTATTTTATTGATTGTATTAAACACAATTTATTTTCTAATTCAAAATTTGCTGAATGGTGGTCTCATATTGAAATATTTCTTATTTTTTTTTCTTAATAATGTATTAACTATAAATGAAGAAGATCAAAATTGGTTTATTTATCTTCTTTATCAACAATATCAAAATGATAATAATCAAATATGTTATGCACCGATTGGATTTACTAAAGTTTATCTTCATTATACTTATTCCAATAAAAAACGACCAAAAATTAGGTAAGAAAAACCTTTCATGTATTATTCACTTGGCAATCTTTTTTACTTTTGTTAGTCAAATGTTAATTTTACCACCATATCAAAGAAAAGGTCATGGTCGACGTCTTTTGAAATCTATTTATAATGATTTACGAAATGATTCTCGCGTTCAAGATATTACAGGTATTCGAAATTTTTCTAAAAGAAAGGGTCAAGAGATAATATCTTATTTTAAAAAAAAGGTGCATTTCGAAACTCCTGTTGAACTTCTTTGTATGCGTAAGATCTCAATATCCGTCAATCTTTGATATATTTTCAGATGAAATGGTACATAAACAATACAGTCAGTAAACGAGTAATGAAAATTATCAGTTATTGTATGAAACTAGATTCATTGTGTGCATATTCATAATTGCTTTTTAAATCTTTGATCTCTTGTTTAACCATATATCATCTTCTAAAAATTTTTAGATGAAATTTAATAATAGCTATTTTTTTATTTAGCTGAAGATCCATAGGATAAATTTATTGCATTACGTGATCTTGTTTCACTTGAATTATGTCATACATATTTACCTGATTTATTTTCAAAAGAATCAATTAATAAAGTAAATCGGTTAACAAAAGAAATGATTGATAAAGCACAAGAAGTTTGTAAATTAACTAAAATAAGTTTTTTGTGTATTTATTTTATTAATTTAATTGGGATAATTTTAGCAACAAACACGACGTGTTTATGAAATGTATTTTCTTCGATCAATTAATCAAAATGATGATGAACAAATGAAACGCTTTCGATTAATTGTTAAACAACGTCTTTTTCATTCAATACAAGTAAAATATTTGATTTATTTTATTTGATTCTAATTTAATAAATAAATTCTTCTTTTTGTATAGTCTAATAAACATCCTGATCTTCAAATAACAAATCTAGAAATTCGAAAAATTTATTTAATTACTCAATATGAAAATGTTCTTCAACATTACGAATATATTCTTGAAACATTTGACAAACATTATTATAATTAATTTTTTATTTCTAATATTTTATTTTTAATTTTTTTCTCTTTATCTCAAAAGGTAATACATTAGAATAAAAATCACATATTTCTCAGATATAAAAAAAAATTATTTGATAAAATTTAATGAAAAGATTTTCTATTACTAGATTAATTAACAAATCGAAAATGAATCAAATTTGTATTTATCTTAAGTACACAACAATTGCAAATAAGATATCATTGAAATCATTTACTCCTAATTCTCATCAATACCGATACCGTGTAGAGATGCATTAATTTCTATTTCAATTCATAGAATTGACTGGAATTGGTCATATTGAAATCGATTATTTTTCACATATTTACATAAATTAATAATTAATAATGTCAACCTTTTAGAGATATCAATTCTTCGTATTATTTCTTTGAGTCTATAAAAAAAACACATAGATTCCTAAGAGACACTGTTCTTGATTGAATGAAATTTTTACCAATTATTCTGAAGGGGGGGGGGGGGGGGGGTGTTGTTCTCCCCCTAACATACCCTGAAACTTTGTCAGTGTGTAGGACTTACCTTCAATAGTATACCTATGCAATAAACAAAAATTCATCAAGTATTGACCGAGTTATTAATTAATTAAGTTCAAAATCAATTAGCTTTTTGGGCTTGAGATGCATTTTTAAAAATTTTCTAGTTTTTCAAATGTACATTATCTTCAGCTGAGTCTGGTGTAGTTTTGTAGAGAATTGTTTGTAGATATAATTCCATGTAAAAAACATTTCAAAATGACTTTTCTGAGTATCTTTTAATTACTAATTAGTAGTAATTATTTCAATTATTTTGCTTAACAATTTTCTTGAGATATATTCAAATTATGACGGTGATCAAAACCTTACGAATTAACGTAAGATTATGCTGAAGAAAAGAGTTTTAGTTTAAAAAACAATTGATACTCATAATCAGCCTTGTCGGTTATTCACAATCTTATTAAGAGGAGAAACCCTCAGAAACCAACTTTGTTATTTTCTCATCCGATTTCAACCAAAATTTCAGCGAATGTTAGTCTTGCCTAGAATAGATTATGGTTAAAATATCTCCCCCAAATCTCAAAGATATACAAAAGTTCTAGTCTATTCATTACTCTTTACGCGGGAAAGGTTTTCACAATAGGGATACTAGTTAAGCATGTCGGCGTGGTTTCTAAATTGTAGAGTGCCCTTAGGCGTAGGTCGTAATAGAGTCCGATTTTTGAATTTCCCTTCCTTTGATTTTCAATAATACTTTTTCGAAAAATTTTCAAATTCAAAGCGCCAATAAAAATGAAATTTCTCAGTTTTATATTTCAGCAAAAGAGAATTTCAAAAATCGGAGCCTGTTACGACCTAGCCCTAACTGCCTGCTATACAATCAAAAGAAAACTATGCCTAACAAGAAAAGAAGAGAAATAAAAGAAACTCTCTTAACTTTTCAACATGCCAATTCATACAATCCAATGTCTCACAGATTAATGATAATCAATTGAACTTATCAAGCGAAGGGGAGAAACATTGCACTGTGTCGACACCAGTTCTCCCATTCGCAGTCCAATGCCTGAAAATAATTAGACAAAAAGAACAAGGAAACAATCGCAATCAATACAAATTTTTCCATCTATAATGTACAAATGTCTTTCACCTAACTTTAGTGTTGAAAACGACTTTTTGATACAAATTCAAAACTTCACTGTCTTTTTCTGTGAAATAAATAAATGATTGATGAATTACTTTATCTCGCAATTAGATTTGAAAGCTCTATCTTCTCGACCGAAAAAATCGCTTATATAGGTAGCAAAGAAATCGTCCTTTTTTTACCAAATACTCTACCTCCAGCAGTTAGCGCTGAATTGTGAACACTATTCAAAAGCTTTTTCCTTTTCAGTATTCATCCGTCTCTCTTCAGCACGGATATAGGTTTGTAGAGAAGTTAAAGCTCTATCTTCTGGACCGAAGAAATCGCTTATATAGGTAGCAAAGAAAATGATTCATTCAATAAAGCAAATCAACATGTAAATTTTGAGCAGTTTTTATTTTTTATTTTTTAAAATTATTTTTAGTGTTTTTTTTTTCTTTTTGAATTTTTCAAAGAGATATGAAAAGTCTGTACAAGTATCCTCAACAAGCGTTTCCTTACGAACAATTGATTGAAGAAAATTAATGACGATCACGCGAGGATCGAGAATTTGAATTGATCGATACAAAGATCTTTGATAACAATGAATACTTCGATGTGTTTGTCGAATATGCTAAACAAGATATTGATGACATTCTCATTTGAATTACTGTCGAAAATCGTCGAACCAGTCACGAAGCTAAATTACATCTATTGGCTACGCTCTTTTTTCGAAATACCTGGATTTGGAATACGAAAAAGGGCGAAGAGTGAGTTATCCTTTTTACGTTGAAGAGAGCCGAGTTTTTGTATTATGAACATTCTAAAGGAATTTTGACTTTCCAGTTTCGTTCAGTGTAGTCAATCGATCTGTGTGAGACTTGGAATCAGTCGATTATTCTTTTATCGAAATGAAGTGACCGGTCAAAATTCTTAGCTCAAACGGAGAAAAATCAATATGTTTAAATGGACGTACCATCGATTCTATGGTGATTCATGGAAAATCGAATGTTCAACTCGAAATGGTCAGATGATGACATTGATTGAAGTTTCTCGTGAAATAAATCAACGACTTACGAAGATTTTTCTACATGATGAACAAGGACGACGAGTATGTCATGGCGACGATATTCGTTTTCAAAAAGATCCACATTGGTGTGATCTTCTTCTCTTTGATGAATACTTTCATGGAGACAATGGTCAAGAGTTAGGTGCAAGCCATCAAACTGGTTGGACAACTCTCATCATTCGTAACATTTCGGATATAGCTATGATGAGAGTAAAGAATAATGCTAATGAAAAATGACTCAATATACATACCAATGAAACCTACTCAACTGTATATTAATATAAATTTCTTTTTTTTTTTTTGTGTAATCCTCTCAAACATATCCTTAAATCCAGCTGAATGATTCAATAAACAGATAAAAACTTTTATTCAGTTTATAATTCAAAGTATCAGATTCACCAAATTTTTCAGATTGCCACAAATCTGTTGAAAACTAATGAATACCAGTCTTGTTGAAATTTGAAACACAACGTACTTTCTATTATTGTATTAAAATGAAATCATGAATACAATTCATTGACGAGAAAAATTTTTCTGATATCTATTTGATGGAAAACAATAATGAGACGACCTCCAAAGGTAATAGAATGGTTGATCAGATCATTATTATAGTTGTTCATTGAGTTGAGTTCCTACCAAATTGTCATGAATGAACATTGGTGAGAATTATTAAAAAGTATCAGAAACTTTATTGCAATATCGAACGTAACGTCAACATATTTTCATCTGATCTCGCTTGGTTCACTCAATGAATAGTTTTGATATTGCTAAGAAGCTTTGTCTTGTAAAAACAAATGTCTTTGTAATAGAGTAAGACTCTCTGTTAAGTCAATGGGAACCGAACACTAGAGACCATTTGAATGACATATAGCTATTGTTTATTAGAAAAATTTGTTATAGATTTCATATAAAATAAACTAAAGCAAAAAGGAACAATGTAGAACTTTTACTAAACGAGAGGAAAAGAATTTTTTTTTTTGATGAAATATTATTAGAAAAGAGCAAGAAGAATTACGTTCTAACACAACTAACACTATTATATGTGATAGTAAATAATATAGATCTAATACAAAGAACATAATAACTCGTTTCCGATTGTATTATCAAGTGTACACACTTTCTTATTCATTCATGTCCGATTTTTAATAAAAAAAAATATTGATAGAAATATAAAAAAATAATCACAAACAATCATGTACCATCACTAGACAGCCTTCTTATGTTTCATTTTTCTTTATTTAATGTAATAAAGAAATAAATGATAAAATATTATGACTTTAAATATTACTTTTTATTATTCTTTTTTGAATTGTTTTATGAATGAGAAAACTTATTTTGATGTTATATTGAACTTATTCTTTGGAAATATCCGAATCATTTCTTAACATTTCATGAGACATTCAGATTTATTGAACGAATCAGTACTTTAGAAAGTACTAATTCTTTCTTTTTTTATTAACTTATTATTATCATATAACATCAATCGATGAAATGAGTACAATGAAAAAAATTCGTTTTAAAAATTCTATAAAGAACATTTCGATCTACTTCGAATACAAAAAGCAACAGCAAAAAGAAAAAGTTTCACTGACAATAACAAAACGAACCTAGTCACCTAGATTACACATCAACAAAAAAAAAAAAACTAATAGTCAACCAAACAAACATTGAAGTGTAGATACATAGTAAAGAAAGAACAGAAAATATAAGAATGCAGATGAAAACGATGAAATGAAACAAATAATAGAAAATCATTTTTTTTTTGCACATTTCAATCTATAAATAAAAAAAATTGCATACAATTATTCTGAAAATAATTATTTAATAATCTTTATTTTCCTACGATAAAATTCAATACTCATTATTTATATATAAATAAATAAACTTTTAGTCTTAATATAAAATATTTGTACTTATTACAAATATATAGACAATTATTTGAATTCAATTATATATTCTAATAGCTAACAAATGGTTTTTTTCTTTTTTTCATACATTGAACTATATTTGTTTCTCATTTTATGTAAACATCAAGAATTAAAAATTCATGACGTTCATATCTCGTTAAATTTAAAAAAAAAAGAAAAAAAAAAGAATATCTTTTTCAATATAATAATTCCTGAGAAAATAAATTAATAGTTTTACGAAAATGAAGTACATGTTTTATACTTCAATATTTATTTTATTAATGCGTCCAAATACAACACAAAAAAAAAGTGCAAAGACAAGATTATTTACCTTTTATTTTATTTTCTATATATTTGAAAAGCAGCAAAATTTCATACAAGTTCAAATCGTTCTTTATTCAATTTTTGATGTATTGTCTACATTTTAAGACAAAAACGAAAATGGTCTTAATGGAGAATGCACGTGTAAAATTGAAGTGTATGACAACAAACACAATGACAATACACTGTACGTTCCAATGATTTACAGCCAATTTTTTACCTTGAATGACTACACATACTATTAACAACCAACGTCTTTTTCTTTCACAAGCTTCTAAAACACCTATTACTACTTTTCGTCCACCAAAAAATTCGAAGACTAATATTCTACCAACAGCTGGACCATCATCACGATTACCACCCCCACCATCATCATCATCATCACGACGACCACCACCAACGTCGTCGTCATCATCAGCAGCAGCACGAGTTTCAAGAAATCAATGGACAAATAATATCATAGCAAGTACAGAAATAACACCAAAGTCACGTATTCTTGTAGTTCGTTCAGCAAGTCGTGGAGCAGATGATTCAATAGAACCAAATGAGGTAAAAGACGCAGAGAAAACGAATCCAGTTCAACTTCCAGCAGTACTAACTAATGGAGTAAGTATTTTAATCAAAAATTCATGTTTCTTATCTTTAACAAAAATTAATATATTTATATATTCTAGCGTACATCGGTTTATCTTATTCGACGACCTATTCCACCAGTTGAACCAACATCCATACAAACAAAATTATATCAAGAACAAAATGAGGAACCACCAACAACACCAACTACTACTAATGATGTACAAGATGTAGATACTCTTAGTCCTACAGAAGACACTGTAACTTCACCTACTCAAGTCGAATCATCTTTAATACGTCCAAAAACTTCTAAACATCGTACACCTTTTACACGTTCTGAAAGTCCTGAAGAAAATTCACCTGTGAATATACATAATGAAAGTTCTACAATTCATTCTCCTGATAGTTCAAAACATCTTATAACTTCACCAACACAATCTGGAAACTCTGAACAAATTAAACCTCGATCAAGATCAAAATCTGTAAGACGAATATTAGTTCATTCACGTTCTCGAAGTCGATCAGCACGAAGACAACGTCGTAGATCTCCAACAGAACGTTCACCATCTCCATCACCTCCTATACAACAAGAATCTAAACGTAATCATAGATTTCTATTATAATCATAAATATATCTCTTTTTTTTTGTTTTGTTAATCTTTTATAGAGACTGATAAAAGACGAAATTTTTTTTCATTTTCACGAACAAAAAGTACAGCTGTACAAGCTGATTTACCTTCTTCTGAAACAATTGAAAAAGAACAACGAATTATTCGAAATATTCGTCCAACAGTTACAAAAAATTCTCAACGAATTAAATCTTCGAAATCAATTGTACTTGTCAATCCAGACGATCAAACTATTGCTGTTGTAGAAAATCCATATGTTAAAGGAGATTCAATTACACCAATTTTAAAACGTCCAGTATCTGTAAAGAATGCTCGATTTCTAAACGTAAATATATGTAGAATATAAATTTAAAAAAAAATCAAACATATTTTGATTTTTCATTATTACAGGATGGACAATCAATAGGAGAATCAAATAAAAGATCTCGATTGAATTCATGTCTTAATTGTCTATCACGACGTAAATGTTTAATTATTATTATTTGTATTATTCTTGCTATAATTGGTTTAGTTGGTGTTGGTGTTAGTGCTTATTTTCTAGCTACTGGTAAATCTATTTACTATTTAACAGAATTATAAAAATAAAATCAATATGTTTCTTTTTCTTAATTTGAAGATTCTAAAACAAATCTTATACCAAAAATTGTTGGTATAGCTGTCGGTGGTTTAATAGCTATAATTGCTTTAACCTTCTTATATTGTATATTGGCATGTATTGATTCTCGTGATGATTATTTTTCATATGATGATGATGTTCCATATACTGGTAGTAAAGTTTTTACAGTAATACCATCTTCACATCCAAATACTCATCTGTATGTTTCTCATGATTATATGAAAATATATAAGACTAATCATATATCTATTTTTAGTAGATCAAATATTCAACAATCAACAATCAATCGACAAAAACCAATAACAACTGATATAAATAGTACAAATAATGGAAAAAATCTTATAATTCAAATGCCTGAACGTCTTCTAACAGCAAGAAAATTATCACCAAAATCACAAGAACGTAAAATAAATAATGTAGTTAATAATATAGGACGTATTGTTCAAGATGCTAAAAAACGATATAATGGTGATGTACCAAATAAAGTTATTGTCAAAGTCGATGAAAATGTTAAACCATCTACTTAAAATATCTTTTAGTTTTCTTCTTTTTTTTTTTTTATCTTCTTGTTTTAAAGAAACAGGATTTTTATTTTAAAAAGATTATAAAAGCAAAAAAAAACTATCAATTATTCAATGAATATTTGATTGTTACCTTTTATTTTTTGTTCAAGGTTTATTTTAATAGTATGAAGAAAAATTATAGAACGAATGATCAAAAAAAATAAAACCAATATCTGTTCGATAAAAATTGATTTATAATCAGCAATGAAATTATTTAAAATATAAAGAGAAATTTTTCTAAGTTTTTACTTTTGATTAAAATGAATTCAATAAGAAAAGTCATATTGTATAATCATTGAATATCTTATTATTCACTTTCTGATCATTTGATATTTTATAAAATTAAAAGTTTTTACTTAATTGAATTCGAACCTACAACTTTCTCTTAATGATTAATACTTATCGATTCTAATTGTTTATTTAATGAGAATAAAGTCATAATGTTTTGTTTTTTTTTTCTTTTCTTTTTATTTTATAATAAATTACCTTGATAAAATAATGATAGAATAATAAATTTATTGATTGTTTATATATTGTAAATTTAATGATCAGTTATGCTTTATTTATGTTTCGTTTATTTGAATTAGAGGGTAAGTCTATTTAGATCATTTTTTAGTTTTAGTTTTTAAAATTGAATGTTAATCATTTATTCATTTGTATTCTTAATTCGTTTCGGTAAATGACACATATATGGATTTATCATAAATAGAAGAGAATGAAAAAAAATATGGATGATAGACAAGTATTCAAGTGAGCGTAATCGAGCGGCAGATTCGTTTGTTGATCTTTAGGGGTGTATGTGTGTCCGTTAGCCAGAGGGCTCACTGACAACATGGCCAAGTGTGTCACAGCAGTCTCTAATTGAATTCGATTTGTCTTATTCTATCAAACTTATGTACAACTATTTCTTTTTTATAGCTTTTTTTTTTGTCACTCATTTACATACACATACTTTTACTTTTATTCACAAATGAGACCAATTAGAGCAAAAGAAAAGGTTCATTGTATTTATATGTTAAAAGACACGCTCGATGAGCACAACCGCTATTATTTGTCTATCTCTATTTAAATTCTATATATAATATATATATATATATTGTATTATGATGAGAGCTAGACATAGTAGGAAATTTTCTTTTAATGTACGTGAGTGTGTTTGTCTACTATTTTTTTTTTTTATATGTAAAAAAAATGAAAAGAAGATGTTTCTAATCACATGCTGTCACAGCATTCCGGATTCCGCTTGCTTGATTATAATAGGTGTTCAAATGAATAAATGATGGCTATATGCGTCTGTTCTCTTTCTATTAAAAGCCAACGTAATATTGTCATTGCTCAGAAGTATTTAAAAAAAACACACACACACACAACTTCTCATCTACCTTCTTCTTCGATTAATATCTTGCCGATAGGGTACATGTCGGCATGTACATTAAACGTTTCTATCTCAATTTGTTTTTTTTAATCTTTAACTAGACAATCATTTATGAGCACAATCTGTTTTGATTCCGATCGGAAATGATATAGATATCGAATTTATTCTTCTTCTCTTACTATTTAACAAAAGCAAAAAGTCTAGTGTATAAAATCATCGTTTCTAATCTGTCACAATCATCAAACTATTGACACACATCATGTGTCTAAATTGTGCTGAGAAACAAGTCATCTGGACTAGAAGAATACAAAAAAAAATAAAAAGAAGAAGAATAAAAAGAAACAAAAAAGAAAAAGAAAGGGAAATGAACTTTGTGCGACTTTGTATCTCCAATTAAATACAGACAAAATGACGAGTATGTTAAAATTACCAACATCTCACTCTCCTGCTGTGTCGGAAAATGATCAACTGTTATTATACTGATGTAATAACTAATACAGCTGCTCAAAAGTTTATTTTATTCTTTAAGACGATAGACGGCAAAAGATAAAAGTATCTCACTTGAAAAAACCACAGGACTACTAGTTTCTTTGTCTTCTTCTTTTTTTTTTCCCGTTTTCTTCATTCTTTTCTAGCTTTGCCTAGCAGCCAAATGCTGATTGATGTTGCGCCCTGTTGAACGTGAAATGAAGCGAGACAGTTGGAGTTTGTTTCTTTTCTTTGTTGCAATGACAAAACACAACGAAGAGAGAAGAAAAAAAAAGAAAAAGAAAAAAGAAAAAGAAGTGATCGATTTGTCTGCATCGATAACGCTTCAATGTGCATACACAATATTTCTGATCAGGTTTCTTCGTTTCGAAATTCGAGTAGTTAAGTTGTTCTTAGATTTGTATAAACAAATGAGAAGAGAAAGAGAAATATATGTATAGTGTGTGTATATATATATATATATATTCACCAATCCCGACAACTTTCTTTATATTTGTTTTAGCCAAAAAAAAAGAGAAAGAAGATAAAGATGAAGAAGAAAAAGAAGATACATTTATTGTTTAAAGTTCAAAAAAAAAAAACAAAATTATTGTATTTTACCAGGTAAAATAGCTTGTGGTCGATGAATTTTTTCTGTTTGCATACCAAAATGATAAGGATTTGCTGAATTATTTGATGATGCTGATGATGATGATGGTGATGATACACTCGGTGGTGATGATGATGATGTTGCTGCAGCAGCTGCAGCTAAACTAGCTGATAACATACTACTATAAGGATAATGTGTTGAAAAAGCTGCAGCATATGCAAGTGGATTATAAGCAAGTGCTGCTGTTGAAAATTCACTTAATTTTCCAGTTGAATATGGATAAAGAGATGTTGGTGGTGGTGGTGGTGGTAATAATGAACGACATTTTTCAAGATTCAATGCGAATGAGTCATTAATTTGTTGTTGTATAGATATTGTATCAGTTGTTGAATGTGTTGATAAATCCATTGAATCTTTCGTCGTTAGAGAATGGTGATGATGATGATGATGATGAGATTGAGGATGAGGAAATGTTGGAAATGGAAATGGAAAACGATCTTTTTTTATTAAAGATTTCGGTTTACGACGAGGACGATATTTATAATCTGGATGTTCTTTCATATGTAATGCACGTAAACGTTTAGCTTCGTCAATAAATGGTCGTTTTTGTTCATCGTTTAATAATTTCCAATCAATACCTAAACGACGACTTATTTCACTATTATGCATTTTAGGATTTTCTTGAGCCATTTTACGACGTTGTCCACGAGACCATACCATAAAAGCATTCATTGGACGTTTTATATGTTCTGACATAGGAGTATTAGAATTTGATGATGATGATGATGTTTTATTAACCAGATGAGGATGTTGAACATTAAATAGATGGGCTTTAAATAATAATAGAAATAAAGAATAAGAAACAATATTAGTTTTCTTTTTTCTTTTTTTTTAATTTTCTATTAATTTATATGAATACTTACACATCATGCTTGAATAATAATGATGATGATGATGATGATAATAATAATAATAAATGAGTCAATCGGAGTTTTTCTTTTTCTTTTTTTTTTCTTTTTAGAAATAAAAATAAAAGCAAAGTAAAAGAAACATACAAGATTCTTTTTTTCTTGTCATATACAATAAAAGGAACAGGTTCTCTTTTTCTCTATTCGATGAAAGCCTATTATATTATTCGACGAGCGAGAAAAAAGAGCAATGAAAATAGTTTTTCTCTCTCTCTCTCTTCCTCTCTTGCTCTCTCTCTCTCTCTTATACAAAGCGAAACATAATGACTTGAACTATGTGCACAGCACATTAATAAAAGAAGGAAAAGGAGAAGAAGAGGAGGAGGCCTTTTCTTGTCGTTCTCGTCGCCGCTCAAAAAGTGTTATTCAAATAGAGACAGCCAAGTGGAAGAGCGAACGAGCGAGTAATAATAATAATAATAATAATAACGACAACAACAACAACAGCTACCATCTATTTTATTCCTCCAATGGAAATTAAAGAATACAAAACGCGAACAAGAGAGAAAGCGCAAGAAAATTAAAAATCGTCATTGGCCATTCATTGCGCTTCTTTTCGCTTTTTTTTCTTTTCTTTTCTTTTATATTCTATTTTATTCTGTTGCTTGCTCGGAAGCGAGAAAGAGTGGCGGCGCCCAACAACAAAGCGATTACAATATGTGTCTATTGGTCTTTGAATAAAAAGAAAAAAAAAAGAAAAGAAAGAAAAGAGGGAAAGAACAATTCAAGCTGTATGTAATAATGAAGGCTTGCATCAACTGTGCTCTCTCAAATGGTACATAAGAAAAAGAAAAATAAAGGCGAGAGTAAAGAGAAATATTGTTAATCGAATGCATATATATATATACATATACATACACTGATCATTAGCTTGTTTCGATTACCTGAATAAAATGTGTAAAATAGGACAATAAAAAAAGAGTAAAGAAACGACAAAAACGAATCCAAATGAATTAAATTCTCAATTTATTCATCTCATCAAGAGCGGCTTCTTTCCAATCAATGCATTTTTTTTGCTACATATACATATATATATATAAGAATTTAAAGTCTATGAATAGTTCTCATCCTATTAATCCTCTCTCATCCATCAATTACAATTGCGGTTTTTTTTGCTTCGTTTGATGAATATTGTAAACGTTGTTGTTGTTGTTCTTATTATTCTGATTACTCTTGTTTAGCTTGTTAACATTTTATGAATATCCTTTTAAAATTATCTTTGCTTTTTTTATTTTATTCAAACGTTTATTTAGCTTGCGCAATGATATAAACACACAGACACACATATATATATATATATATATATTAATTTCAATTGAAGTGACGATTGAACTTGCACGTATACACTTTTAATTTAACCAAAACTATCGGCAGCAAAGTACAATTCGTTGTCGAGTGGAAAAAAAAGAAAGATGAAGACGACGAGTTGAACGGAAGTAAGCATCGAAAGACGGTTAGCAGCGGAAGCGACTTATTTAGCGTCGACAAAGAAATTACAGTTCTCTCTTTTTTGCTTCTTCTTATTCAGTGACGAGCAAGAATAATAGAATAATCATAAAGCCCGGGCGCACACACGCATGTATGTTGTTTGCCTGGCCATACACACTAGTGAACCAACGTCTCACCAATTACGGGTCTATTCAATGGTCGATGATCTTGCAAAAAAAAAAGGAAGAAGAGAAGAGAAATAGATGAGGAAGATGATGCGAGACAGAGAACGTGACGATATGTATGTATATATATGTGTGTGTGTATGGCTGTAATCAAATTGCGTTTGGACACACAGCTCCAGGCTGTTGTAATTGGTTTGAAGAGTGCGAATAGAGAATGATGACTGCTAGTAATCATGAATGAAGATGATTGATTATTATTATTTCTTTTTCAAGCCTCTAGGGGTACCACATTGATACTTCTCGTTTTCTCTCTTCTTTTTTATATACACATATTGGTCTCTCGTGTCAACATGAACCATGCGGCAAAATATAAACAATTTGTATATATATATATATATTCATGCTAAGCAAGTATCAATGACAACATCCAACGAGCAGCCAAGTGGGCGAATAATCATCAAATTAAAAAAAAATAAAATATTCAATTTTTTTATTTCTTTAGTCTATTCTGTATTATACTAATATTAATATGAATGATGTTTACCATCTTATTCTCTAATCTGTCATTTATATATACATATAGAATGACTTAATCATATTGAAATATGTTGAGAAAGTTCGACTCCTCCTTTTTCTCTCTCTCTCTCTCTCTCTTCTAATCCATTCATATATGATTGTCACACACCATCTCGTTTTCGATCATTAGTTAGGCTTCTATTTGTTTGTTAGTTGTACAATATTTGCATGTGAACAACACTATGTGTATATATATATGTATCGAATGAAAACGGCAACGACAAGAGAAGAGATTAGACGAGAGAAAATTTGACACCTGCAACGATTGATGATCATTTCTTTTCTTCAATACGATAAGAAATCATATTCATTGACGAATATTTAAATAAGACAGCATGAATATTTTCTTATTCATAAATGATTTTATTGGTACTGATGCGATTAGACATGCATGAATGAATATATGTGTATTACCACAAATAAAAACTACAATTCAATTCTCTCTGATTATAATGACAAAGTTAATTGATCGAAGAATACGCCTACCATCATATAATAAATGTTCAATAATAATAACAGGTGTTCGCGGACAGATCTTAAGAAATAAAACAAAAAAAAAAGAAAAAAAAAAAGTAAATCAATCAATGTTGATTTGTGTGTGTGTTTTTTTAAGAGTATATCAAATCTATGATATATTTTATTGCACAAATAATACTTCGGATTTTTGTTTTAGCATTGTAGAAATAAAATATTCGTATAAGAATAAAGAATAAACATGTTAAACATATTATTCAATGTTGAAGATATACATAGAGAGAACAACTTACAAGAGAATTTTCTCAGTTGTTCCGTTGTCGATTGACAATGATTTTTTTTTTAACTTATAGATACTATTTAATATTACCTTAAAAAGAAAAAGTTTAGATTTGATTAAACTATAAAACTTTATGCACGTATAGTAAAAAATTCAACTAGATTATTTTCTATGAAAAAGAATGTAGAAGTTTTGAATAAAGTTCTTTTCAAAATATGAACTTTTCAAAAATTATATGTTATATTCAATTATCTAGGGTGTATCTATAAATAAAAAATTCCCTTGTTAGTTGATTATATCTCAGATCGTTGTTTATAACTATTTCGTATTAAGGAAAATAAAACAATCTGTCACTCAACATAAAAAAGATTCTAAACGAAAATTCTCTTTTTTTTTTAAGGTTTCTTAACTTAACTTGTTTCGTTTCTTTTTCTTTTTTTGTATTTGTTAGAAAACAAATGATTGAATAACTGCTGACTATTTTCATTTTTACTCTCACCCTTATTAGGTTTCTATGATATTGATCATTGATTATTGGTGACTTTTGATAATATTGAAACAGATGTCTTTCCGCTTCTCGAGACAAGTATGTATATATGTATTAATCATTAAAGTTTCGTAATAGAGAGTTGATCAAAATCAAAAGCAAAGAATTTCTTTTGGTTGGTTTTTTTTTTTTTTTTTTTTTTTTTTTTCTTAAATAACTAAATCGACCGTAATATTGGTATGTCAAGAATGATAATCTATTTTTCATTTATAGTTACAATAAAAAAAAGAAACAAAATCTTGTCGTGATTTTTTGTTTTTTTCGATTAAGATATAATCTGTTTAAAAAAGAAAAATCATTGAAGAATTGTTTATTTTGAAAATGATTACTATCGTATAATAATGAACATATTCTCTATGTTCTGTTTATTTGAAAGATATGATTGTAATGTATATAGAAGGTGTCATTCTTCGATTAACAGTCAATAGAACAATGAAGAATTCCTTTTTCTTTTTTTTTTTTTTTTATGTACTCTTATCTTTAACTATTTTTGTATTATAACACTTCCAATAGAAATGAAACAAACAATGATTTGATATCATATTTTTAAAACAATCGAATCAATTCTATTTTAATTAAATATTACACTTATACTATGTGTACATTAGATATATTCAAAAAAAACAAAATTGTAGAAAAATAAAACTTCTTTCTTTTGCAATGAAATCAGTAATGGTAATTGAAAACTGTTTTTTTTAAGTTATTGGTAATGGACATTATATAAATTTATATAATATATATTGATTTTGTTTGTCGTTAGAATGAGATCTGTAAAACATTTAAATTTTGTCTGAATGTCATAATATTGAAGCTAACTTTGTACTTAGTTAATTTTTGTTTTTCCTCTATTGAAACTTTGTAATAAAAAATTTAAATATCATCAATCAGTCTATGGTTTGTATAGGTGATGCACTAGTGGAATGATACATCGATGATTATTATGGAAAGACTGATAAGATACAATGTTTTTATTCTACCTATATGACTCTAGTTTCACCAATAATATCTGTATTATAGAGATAGGAAGAAGATATCCGTCACATTTCACTGTTTTCTTTGCTTTTTGATCTTTTACAACTTTGTAATTAGTTTCTAATTTATTAACTAAATTTCTAAAAAAAAAAAAAAAGTAAAATTTCTTATTATTTCTTTAAAAAAAAAACAGTAAATCTATTTTTAGTTTATATTGAACGTAGTTTTACAATTGATATTTAGATACGATTATGAATGAATTAATATTAAGAATTTATTGTTTCTCTTTAGAAGGTTTTGTTTTTATTGTCTATTAATATTTCGAATGACTTATGTTCGATAGTTTATTAAATGATAACTTATACATTCAAAATTCAAGTGAATCTTGTTCATTTTTGTTTTTCGATATTACAATAAAAAGTTCAAAATAGGATCTTTATTTTTTAAGATACATCTTTGTTAAACTGACCAAATTTTTTAAAAAAAAAAAAAAAAAAAAAAGGAAAAATAATTAAAAACGAAATACAAAGTATATTTTGTTGTATTAGATCATTAGAACACTTAGCACCATCAGGTCTAAAAATTTTTGAATCCGAATCCGATCAGATTGACTTTAGTTCATATCTTAGATAATGATAAACTTTATAAACATCATGCATATAGAGCTAAATTTTATAATTAGTTATTTTAAAAATTAACTATTAGGAAATTTTGTAAAATTGAAGTATGGATTACATAGATTTTTTCAAGAAATTTGATGTCTGATAGACTCTATTTTAAATATTTAAATTATTGAAAATAAGTTTGAATTTGTAAATGAAGTAGTTCTAAAATTTTGTTCTATGTACATCAATGTAATATTATATAAACACAATTCTTTTTTGCTTTTTTTCTTTTTATTATCTTAAATAAGAATTAAAAATGATACATCAGTCGTTCTATTACATGTATTTTTTTCTTAATTTACAATAAATTACATTGCTTTATTGAATACAATAATAATATTTTTAAATAGTACTTATCTATATTATTTAATATGGAAAAGAAAAGGTCCATTTATTTCATTGCACTGACATGGACGTATTTCCAATTATGCTACATAACAAACAGAAAAGATTTCAAATGGATTTGATAGTTCAAACACAATAAATGATGAGAACTGTTATTTAGATATTGAACTTTTGTTAACAAACTGATCAGGTAGTGTACAAATTTGTTTGAGAAGAACTCATAAAGTTTACGTAAATATCTCTTATAAAATTCTAGCGATTTAATTGCTTTTTATTTCGTATGATTTAGTTTACAACAAATATTCAAAATGATTACTATCTACTTAAATAGATGAATCCATGCGTTTTGAAATATTTGAAAAGACATTACACAAAGTTTTGTTTGGTGATCAATTTAATTTTCATAATCAATATTCGGTTTTTTCTTTTATTCGGCTGTATCTTTAACAGGAGTTTTGTAGATGCTTTGAAATGTGAATGTCATTTTTAATTTTCTCTCAAAGCCTTCAATCGTATATATTAATCAACGTTTACAAAAATCTTGTCAAAGACTTTTGACTAAATTACAGATGAAAATTGACACAGAAATTAAATCGATTCTTTAAAAAGAAATTTTGTATAATGTTTTTTCAAATATTTCAAAACTCATGGATTTATGTATTGTAATAAATGATAATCATTTTTGAAGATTTTTTTTTTTGTAAATCAAATTATATGAAATAAAACTTAAAACAATAGACTATTATAAGAGGAGAAAAAATTCCTGCCTGCCTACGCTCTAATCAGTAACATTATTATTGAGATATATCGTTAATATTTTTAATGTGAACTTTTTATTTTGTAAAAGAAAACGAGCTATAACATCACTCATAGTTATAATACATCTTTTGACTTTCATGATATAAATTGAATAGTTTCAGTTGACAAAAAAAAAAACAAAGCACTTTAAGCATCTAATTTAATAAATTTAATGACTTTTATTTCTAATAAACTTTTCATATTGTATATACATATATGGACAGCAATCTTAAAGAGTTCAGTCAAAACAAATAGCTTTTGGCGAACAACTAATTTTAGTGTGAAGTACAAAGAGTATCCGTTAACTTTATAAGGACATCTATCTTCTGAATAGTCACGTCTTCTTGTTTATTAAAGAATAAAATTTTGAACACTACACAAAAAAAAACTCAAATTAAATAATTAAAAGAAAATTTCAAAATCTTTAACAGGCTTAAAAATTTTCTTTTCATATTATGCGTTTTATTGTCAATAAGAAAACAAGAAATATGCGAAAAATGAAAACCAAAGTATCAGAAATGTTATTGATGTATTTATCATATTTCCATTATTTCCTGGGCTAGTTGTCTGTTGACTTGTCGATGTAGCTAATGAAACCGTTGTTGTTACTACTGTTGTTGCCATTGTTGAAGCTGATGTTGCGCCTTCTGTTGAACCCGATGGTGTGCTCTCTGTTGAACCCGATGGTGGGCTCTCTGTTGAACCCGATGGTGTGCTCTCGGTTGAACCCGATGGTGTGCTCTCGGTTGAACCCGATGGTGTGCTCTCTGTTGAACCCGATGGTGTATTATCTGTTGAACTCGATGGTGTATTATCTGTTGAACCCGATGTCGAATCATCTGTTGAACCCGATGGTGTATTATCTGTTGAACCCGATGTCGAATCATCTGTTGAACCCGATGTTGTTTCTGTCTCTAGACTATTAATGCTTGAGTTAATGAAAGAAATGAAATAGGACACTCGTGTATATAATCCAGATAATCCTGCATCACCACATCCTAAAAGGCTTTCTGTTATTCCTACTAATACCCAACTATTATTAACAAAAACCATTAATGGACCACCATTATCACCAATACATGTATCTAAAAGAAAACAAAAGCAAAAAAAAGTTTCTCATAAATTAAACAGATAATAACGACTTACCTTTACCACCACCAATAACTCCCGCACAAAATTGCACAGATGGATTGACTAAACCGGCTTGTTGACATTCAGTTGATGTTGATGATAATGTTTGAATTGTTACTTGTTGAAGAGAATCAGATGGAACAGTATCATTTTTCGATGTCTTACCCCATCCAATGGCTACAAGAGCAGTATCATTTTGAAATGGATCTATCCCGTCTTGTGGTAAACAAATAAAAGCTATTGTAGAATTTGATGATTTATCAAGTGGAGAAAATTTAAGAATAGCAATATCATTTATCATAGTGGTTGAATCATAATCGGGATGCGTAATAATAGAAATGATTGATCTTTGTTGAATAGTTGTAGTGGATGTATCATCTAAATCGTTAGTACCAGCAAGAATTGTTAATACAGACGTATCTTGCACATAATCTTGTACACAACTGGCTGCTGTTACAGCATATTCAGATGTTAAAAGACTGGCACCACATGTATGATTGCCTGAATTTTGAAGAGAAATAATCCAACCCCATGTATGAACAGCTGCTGTTTCTCCACCGACAATCCGTGATGTAACATTAGTGATTACTGCTGAACAACCACATGAAATACTTGGATCACATTGATATATAGCACTGTATGTGAAATTAATATAAGAAAATATAACGCATATAAATAATAATATTTTATTCATCGTTTATCAACTTTATCCTTGAATCAAATACCTTTATACTTTTATAACTTGTTTTGAGAAGTCACGGTACAATGCGTTTATTTATTATGAAACAAATGCATCTTTCTCTTTCGAATGACTGCATTAAATCAGTAAGAAAAAGAAAAAAAAGAAAATATACAGGCAAATCGTGATTATAAGTAAAAGTGCAAGACAATGCACTTTAAGGTACCATTACTAAACATAGACAGGTGAATTATAAAAATATGTTTTACATTGTCGTCAGAAGTTAGATAAAAAAAATATTTTTTTATTTTGTCACATGTGGTAATTTCGTCTATTTGTCGTTTTTGTATTTTGAATAGATAATACACATCTCATATTACATCTAATCCATTTTACTGACTGATTTACGTCGGAATTTTTTGCTTTTGTGTGTAAGGATGCAAATTACGCATGGTGTTTTTTATTCACGTGTAGTGTAGACGAAATATTTTTTTTTTTTGGTAAATAAGAAAAAAAAATATAAAAATAAAGAAAACAAAATTTGATGTTAATTATCTGATCATAACAAATGCTCATATAGAGACTTCTAGAACATTTACAAAGGTTGAAATAATCCATACATCCTATGTTGCATTCTTCCAACATGGTATTTTGAACTTTTCCTATGATATTATCATATGCCCGATGTTGGTGTTTACCTAATATATTCGTTGACGTCGTATTTGGTTTTGTAGAGCACACTAATATATAGATATATCTAAGGATGTTTCGAGAGCGCCACAATCAGAGGAGGTTGAGGACTCAAGTACTGTTCTACATGGATACAAATTTTCAAAATTCGATCTGGACTAACACTTCTTTTTTTTGTATTCTAGCTCGAGCTTTTCAAACTTCTGTTTTATATGAAAAAAAATACCATTCAATTTCTTTCATAAATAGCAAAAACAAAAATCTCAAGTTTCACAAAAAAAGAAAAGTTAATCACTTGATGTGTTTTTACGTCTCAAAACACGATCGTTATTGCTTAGGATACGTTTCATTGTTGAAGAAAACACTAGAATAAAACGTTATGTTGCTGCCAACCATCATACTTGTGAAAATATACATGTATGCTTTTTTTCATGACGATAATAAATATTCACTCTTTTCATAATTCATTACTGCATCATATGATTCATCATCATCATCTGTAAGTGAATTATCATGTATACTGAATTATTCGATCATGGTCGAACTAGTTTTCACACATATGCTTTCATATACATCAGTAATTTGAAAAATAACAATATTTTGTAACGTCAAGATTTCATTAATTCTAAGGAAAGGATCATATATGATAGTTTATACGAGTGGTTCGAACCGACATTGGTTTTTATGCGTGTGACTAATCAATGATATGTTTATTTAGAGATTTTTTTTACTTAGTTCATTTTAGGTAACATAACACAATCATTGTCATTTTATTTTGATAAAATATTTTCAATCTGTATATCCTTCAGATATTAAGTGCTTTCTTTGTAATAATATACTATAGCTTGTATTCACACTCTTTTATTATAATATGTAAAAGCTATTTTTTTCCATAATATGATTAACATTTTATTTTCTTGATGAAATACATTTTTGATAAATAGTTAAAGGTAAAGTATAATAATAGAATACTTGATCATATTTATTTTACAAACATAACTTGCAGAAAACTCATCTTGATCTATATTGTAATTCATTGTTCACCATTTTTTAAGTATGATTCAAATTTGTTTCAACTTCAGATTAGTTATTTATATTATAACGATTGTTATTAACAGGATAATACATCTACTCGATATCTTCTAATGTTATCTTAGTTATAGATCTGCCAGGTTGTGTTTTATCTCGATCTTCATCAAATTCACTCTTAAATAATTTCAATATTAATAAACTAAACGTCTCTATATCTTACTGCTTAGAAGATTTTCAGAGATCAAACTGGAGAACAAGATTTTTACATTTGGATACGGGAAAGGATTTTTTAAAATTTTTATTCAGTTTCGTTTTGCTGATTATTGAAACTACAACGATCTAGAATTTCGAAACATAATTTTCTGGACGACTCAAAATCTATCTTGCATTGAAGATTTATTGGAAAAATTTCTTTTTCATTCATACAAAGGACTATACATATATATCTATCGATTAAAAACAACCGCAGTTCTCTTGAATGAAGAATATTAAGAAAAATTCAAAAGAAGTTTTTATTCTATATAATCATCTTACTATTACTTAGAATGAAGGTGAAACATAAATATATTACATGTGAATTAAAGCAACTTGTCTATGTACATTAGAATGTTCCTGTACGAGATACAGTACAATAGATAATGCTACCTACAATTGCCTTTAACTTTTTTATATCATTCAACAACATAATACAGACAAAAAAATAATAAATGAATATTATTGTTTCGCCTTTTGTAGATCTCAAAAGTGTATTTCTCAGATGTACAATCTTTGATTAATATTTGTATTTAAAGCATTAATAAGAATAGAATATTCATAGATAAAATATGCGTCTGTTTTACAAACTATGCTTCAAATTCGGAAAGTGCATGAAGTAGTATATTTCGTTTATTGTTCGAAAGAAATACACTTTTTAAAAACATCAATAATTCATGATCAGAGTAAAAGTGAATAACATTAGCTAAAACTATTTTAAAAGATGTATTTTGACTAAAAAGAATCGCTATACATGAGTATGTTTAGTATTTTGATAGCTTCTCATAAATGACATGATCATTGAAGCTTCTGGACGTCTTATATGATGAAGAACAGTCTAAGCTGTCAATTCGTTGCCTTTGAAGTACTAAAATAAAGAGTTAAAAAAAAAACGTTATGAGTCTCTAAGGTTTTTACATTAGATAAATTAATGTCAGATAATATATGTTAACGAAATCTATATCTGGTAAAAAACGAATTGTACAATGGCATGTACTACATAACAAAAGTTGAAAATACGGCTATCCTGGAAACGTTCATTTCTAGCGTTTCGAACAGTTTTTAACCTATAGCACTATGTTAATTCTTTCTATTACTAATTCAAAGAAAATAAATTTACCGTTTAGACTGATTATTATCAAATAACACATTATGAAAAACTGTTAACATATTAAGTACACTCATGTTTAGCGATTTTTTTTTTCCATTCAGAATAGATCCTTAAAATTTGTTTTAGCTGCCGTTATTCATACGTTAAACTAAATGATCAAATATTTTGAATTTGACTATGGTTTAATTGAAGACTTTCTTAATAATTTTTTGAAATATGTGATAAAATAATATTTTGGTATCCAATATCTAAAAATCCATCATTTCACTGTGCATGACGTTCAATTGTTATTGAGAGTAGTAGATAGTGAAAATTCACTAGAAACTATCTGTCATATATTGTCCGAGCAAATGTATCTTCATATAAATTTCTATCAGGAACAAAGCTAAAACTTCTAAAGTTTCGATGACTGTTACGATTTCTTACGAAACTGTAAAAAATTTACAATAAGTTCAAAATTTTCTGGAATGGGAAGCTCTCGTCCGCTTCCTTGCTACTTGGCAATTCAGGTACTGTGATTTGCTGATAATTTCTTGAAGGGATAGTGTTATTTTTGTAAAAGAAATAGAACTATAGCAACCAAAACAGTTATAAATTATCAACTATTGCAGTTATTAGATTTCTTTTGACTTTAATGACACTAATCGAGTATGTTGAGTTAGGAATAAAGCAAAAGACTCGAAGAAAACAATTTAACTCATTCAATGATATTCATTTCTGTTCTAGTTTTCAGACTGTATATATAGAAATACGTCTTCAAAGAGTTCAGTTGACACAATCAATTTTTGTCGTCAAATCAATATTTATGTGTAGTACAAAGAGTATCTACATATTTACTTTATAAGCTCATTTATCTTCTATAGAATAATAGTTTCATTTTTTATGAAAGAATACCAAGTGAAATATTTTACAAAAAGAGAAAATAAAATAAATAATCAAAAGAAAATTGCAAAGAAAATCTCTCCTATAAGAAAAGATTTACTATTCGTATGATATATGATATCATCAATAAGAAAAGAAATATGTTAAAAATGAAAAGCAAAATATCACAACTGTTATTGATTTATTTTTCATATTTCCATTGTTCATCTGAATAGCTGATTGATTATTTTTATGTTGACTTATCGATGTCTTTAATGGAACCGTTATTGTTGTTTCTGTTACTGGGACCGTTGTTGCTTCTGTCAATTCAACTGTTGTTGATTCTGTCAAATGACTCGTTGTTGCTTCGCTCAACGAAACCATTGTTGTTTCTATCGTCGTAATCATTGTGGATTCTGTCAGTGGAGGCGTTGTTGATTCTGTCACTTCAGTCATTGTTGTTTCTACCCCTGAAACCGCTGTTGTTTCTACCCCTGAAACTGTTGTTGTTTCTACCCCTGAAACCGTTGTTGTTTCTACCCCTGAAACCGTTGTTGTTTCTGCCATTGGAAAATTCACGTTTGAATTAATAAACGAAATAAAATAAGATACTCGAGTGTATAATCCTAGAAATCCTGCTTCAGCGCATCCAATACCTTCTGATGTTATTCCTGCTAATACCCAACTATTATTAACAAAAGCCATTAATGGACCTCCACTGTCACCTTGACATGCGTCTACAAAAAACAAACAGGATTATTATTAATTAAATATAGAAGAAAAACTTACCTTTACCACCAGCAATAACTCCCGCACAAAATTGCACAGATGGATTGACTATTTGTGATACTTGACATTCATCTGATGTTGATGAAAATGCTTGAACTGTTACTTGTTGAAGAGAATTAGATACAACATGAATGAATTCCGATTTATAACCCCATCCAATAGCTACAAGATTAGTACCACTTTGAAATGGATCTTCATCTTGTTTTGGTAAACAAATAAAAGCTATTTTAGAATTTGATGATATATCAAGTGGAGAAAACTTAAGAATAGCAATATCATTTTCATTAGTAGATGAATTAAAGTCAGGATGCATAGTAACATTAATAATGGACCTTCGTTGAATAGTTGTAATTGATGTATAATTTAAATAATTTGTTCCAGCAAGAATTGATAATATAGATATATTATGCATAACATCTTCTACACAATGAGCAGTTGTTACAGCATATTCAGATGTTAAAAGACTTGCACCACATGAATGTTCATCGGATCGTTGAAGAGAAACCATCCAACCCCATGCATCATTAGATGCTGCTTCTCCACCAACAATTCGTGATGTAACAGTTGTGGTTAATGTTGAACAGCCACATGAAATATTTGGATCACATTGATATGTATTACTAGATATCAAATTAGTGTAAGACAATATAATACATATGAATAATAACATTCTATCTATCATTAACAATCCTTTATTGTTGAATCGAATACTTTCATACTCTTATAACTTGTTTTGAGAAAGTCACGGTACAATGCATTTACTTAAGAGAAAAATACGTTTTTCTCTCGCGACTGATTAAATCAAACGTGTAAGGCAAAGAAAAAAAATATATATGCGAACCCTGATAATAGATAAAAGTACAAGCAAATGCATTATGACGAATGATTAGTCAACATAGGCATGTAAATAATGAAAGTATGTTTACATTACCGTTGAAAGCTTGATAAGAAAATATGCTTTTTGTTTTATCACATGAAATATTTTACTTTCTTTCTTTTCTCTCTTGCATATACGTAAATAAGATAATAATTCATGATTTTGTTTAAGTATATATATGATGAAAGAGAAATATTCTTATAGGAAATTAAAAAGCTGACCTGAAAATAAAAACAGAAGACTTTATATTTATTATTCATGCACAATAAATGTTCATATAGGAACTTCGAGAACATGCGCAAGTATTATGAATCTCTTGGCATCGCCTATGCTTCAATTTTGGTAATACGATATTTTTTTATTTTTCTTGATGTCTTATTGCATGCCCGATATGGATGTTTACCTAATATATTCGTTTACATTGTACTTGGTCTTGTGGAGTATGCTTGTAGATAGATATGTCCAAAGGTGTCTCGAAGTAGGCACGATTGAAGAACATTACTGACTCAATTAATCTTCTGCACAGAGGAGAATTTTCGAAATAGTACACCTTGCAAAATTTTATTGTTTTTTCTTTTCAAAAAATTCTACTATTTAGTTTCTTTCATAAAAAGCCATAAAAGAAAATAAAAATCATCTCAAATTCCATAAAAAAGCAAGTTAATCACTTGGTATCCTTCTGTTGCAAAAATCTGATCGATTTTGTCGAAGACACTGGAATAGCACGCTGTGTTAGTACCAGCTATTGGAATTGTGAATATATACATGTATACTTTTTTCACAACGATAATAAATGTTCCCGTTATTCATAATCCATTTTCCTCTCGATATATTCCATTACTTCATTCTATGACTCATCATCATCTGGGAATGAATTTTTATTGAAAACGAATTATATTGTGTACCTCTGTAAGATATTCTTAAGTGCAATAAAATGTTCAATCATGGTCGAACTGGTTTTCACTCATATGCTTTTATATAAATCAATAATTTGAAAAGTAATAATATTTTGAAACGTTGATTGTGGGGAGAGATCTATATATGAATTCATAATCGAGATTTGAATCAACATTTCTTTTCATGTACGGCACTCCGACTGAGTTCCATGTGATTAAACATTGTTTTGGAATTTCCTGATGAAGAGAAAAAATGCTGAAACTATATTGAAGATAAACGAGAATTTTTCAAGATGGTCAGTCATACTCTCTCGGGACGTTTTTTGTACATTCTTTTATTTGCTAGATAATTTAGTTTCTCTCTCTTTTTCCCATGATCTGCGTTTGTCTCTGTATCATGCCAAGTGTTTTTTTTATTAGACTTAACTCATTCATACAATCACAGAATTTACAATAAGTTTATTATTGAAATAAAGAATTTATCATGCGTTATACTGAGAATGATCACTTAGTTGTCTCTAAATAAAATTTTTGTTGGATCGTGAGTATTGAAACCCATCGATTAAAACAACAGATTTGGTACATTTCACGATATCTTCTGATATTTACTTTTTTTTTTAAATGTTGGATTCTAGTTAGCCGTTTACACTTATTCCTCATTAATTTAATTCATATTCGATTATAATCTGCTTACAAAATAGATTTATTTTTCACTTTGTTTTATTACGTTTTTCGAAAGCTCTTGTAACATGCAGAATTTATAGTTAAGAAATATAACTTTAACATATGAATACAGTGATTTTCTTTTCATTAAATTAAAATAGGACAAGTATAATCAATTGAAAAATATTCTTATGTAAAGAACAACAAATGAATTCGACATTTTAGTTCATTTTTTGTTCTTTACTTCGTCTTAGATAATTTACTCATATGAGCACTCGATCTAGCGTCATCAACTGTATCATTTATTTTTTTTTATCAACGCGATGCTGATGAGTTGTTATTTGGATTTTATTTCAATCATAGAATCAAAACTAGAGAATAATTGAATAAGAGTAGTTGATATCTTTAAAGTGAATCTTGAAATGATTGTCCGGTTAATGTGAAAATATAATGGAATTTGCCAACATGTTCTTTATTTAACTACATATAATTACTTCCTATGGAAACAACTTAAAAACAAATAGCATTCAATGGTTCTATTAAATATTTATCAGAGTTTTAAATTGAGATAGAAATTTTATTTGAGAAGTTCGGTATTTCAGATAGATATAGAATGTAACATAATGCTATTGTTTATGTATTAGATATTTTATAAAGATTAATCCTTAATGAAGATTAGTTTCATATCCAGTACGGATTCTCAAGTACGTCTGGACCAAACTATGAAGTTTTACAATTTCTGTTGAGCAGGGTTACTGTTGTAAAATCATAGAGACTTGAGGATTTTCATAAAGAATTTTAAAACTCTAAAGAGCATAACATATACTTTCAATAAAGAATGTAAGTCTAAGTCTGGATATCATGAAGCTCTTAACTATTATACATACTCTTATCGATTATAAATAAACAGAATATTCTAGTAAAACGAAATAAATATCGCAGCGCTTCATTGTTGTAATCAACTGCTAGTAGCATTTCTCGTTTCAATGCGATGACAGATTTTCATATTGAAGAATGAAATAATATGCTTTTCTATGTGTGTAAATAAAAAAGAGAGTCATTTGAACAACTTTTTGATTATGTGTTATTTCGTAATTTTTTTTGACTTTATTTATTTTTCTTTTTTAGAAGATTTTTAATATTTTCTCTATATTCGATTTTATTTTGTAAGTTCTTCAGAAAATATCTGCTGTTAGTTTGTATTCATGCTTATTTACCTTCACGAATAAGAGCCATTTTTTTTTTCATAATAAGATCAATATTTAAATTTTCTCATAAAATATATTTTTGATAAGTATTTATAGTTAAAGTATAATAATCAAATTCTTGATTATATTGACTCAGCTGAAATGGCTTGAAGAAAATATCTCTTTATACATATTTGATAGCTTAAACAACAATTCTGTATATTTTCTTCCATATATCATCATGCTTTAATTATGATTCAAATCAGTTTGCAGTTGCAATTAATCACTTATAAAATAAGGATCGTCATCAATTTTTGCCTTTTTTTTTTATAGTTTCTAGCGTTTATGAATACTATTTTTTGGCCCCAAAAAACTAAATGGGCATATTTTTTTTCGTAAAAAAGAACACCTTTTTCTTTTTATTTACACAATTTTTTTTAATTTCATTCTGCTTTGTAGCTTTTAATTTTAGTTGTTTTAAATAATGCTACTGTGAATCACAAAAATACACATTGATTTTTTTTTCTCTCTTTTTCTTTGTTGAGAAATCATTAATAAACTCTAATGCTTATTTACCATAATTTTCACTGTTTGCTTAAATAAGACTAATAGAAAAATAATTTGGAGTTAAATTGAAATTACAGTAAAACCTCTCATAGTGGACGCCTCCGTATAGTGGACACTTCGTAGTCCGACGGAGCGATTTTTGCTGGAATTGAACCTCTACATAGTGGACACCTCACTATAACGGACACTTTTTCACGGTCCCTCTCGCATAAAATACCTCTCTATAGTGGACAGTCCGTTCTCAATTGGACAAAAAATATCGTGATGACTGCCATCAAGCATACGAGATAGTGATTTCTCTGAATGAATCAGACGGACTAATCATAGAAAAAAAAATGATATGTTCGCTATGTTGAATTGCCGAGAGAGACATAAGGGCATTGTTGCCGTCATGTCATTTTGTTATCATCACAAGAGAAAGAGAACATTATGTCGAAGCGACAAGAGTGAACATAGGAAAATGAAACTGCGCTGATACAAGACAAAACAAAATGGTCGTAATTGTTCAATACGAAAACTAGTGGACAAATACGATATGTTAGAAGTTGTGTCGTTATCAATTCCCTCTGCAGAAAATTCTTTGATTGTGTTACAAGTTGAAGAGAGTTATTAAACGAATGCATTGACGAAAGTGAACAAATAGGACTCAACGAGAAATTATTTAAATTATTGTCAATTTTTTCTATTGCAATACTTGAAAGAAAATTAAAATAGAAGAAATAATTTGCTTTTGACAATCATGTTATTCACTAATTTTTCAGATACCTAGAGATATGCTAGTTTCTTCGAAGAACTTTTCCTATTCGAAGACACATGACCTCTCTATAGTGGACACCTCCATATAGTGGACAGTTTCGAAAATTCCGATGGGTGTCCACTATAGAGAGGTTTTACTGTATTTGATTTCAATAGGAACGTTATTTAATATTTATTACAAAACAAAACATAAATTATAGTCGTTATTTGAAAATGTTGAACAGTCAATGCTAATATAATTGATTAGTATATAAAAGTCATAAATAACGAAGATACAAATTATATATTTAATCTCAAAAGAAATGTTTTTCATATGGTTACTGATAGTTGTTTGAATAATGTTCATCATCATTACATAATGATGTTTGTATGATTTGTAATTATTTTTTAACACAAAGTCATTTTGCATCCAGATAAAAAAACAAAGATTCTGAGCATCAAAGTTTTTTTCACGAACTACAAGAGTCAAATAGCGAAATTTTTCAAAAGTTTGTAAGCTAAAAAAAAACGATCGGAGTCTCAAAGGTATCTCTATATTCATTGGGCAAATATATAATCATTCGTAGGACATTTTATGACCTATAATATGCTATTATTCTTTGTGATGAATCGTTTAAATCAATGAAAATAGATTGACCATGCAGTTTCATCACTGTAGACAATTCATCTGTATTGAATAATTCTTGTTCGATTCTCTTCGCAGATATTGTTTGAAAAATATGTTCAATAGTAGATCTTTTGATAAAAGCAATCGAGGTTTAAAAATAGAAATGCGAAAACAATATTATAGTCGAAGTATTAAGAAGTTCATTATTGACAAGACACTAGCTTTCCATATAAGGCAAAATCTTTCAAAATTATTTTCAATTACAATATTATCAAGACGTACTATGACATACAGAGAAATTTCAAAAAATGTAGAAAAAAAAATGAAGTATTTTCTGTAAGATTCATTACAGATATTCTACCGAAAATAATTACGAAAATACGTAGCCATAGAGAAAAAGTATGATGAAGTTTAATGAAGTATGCAGCAGTGTTTCATTCAGTTGTTTTTCTTTCGAGATAGCAATTCGAAGTTCAGAAAAGTGAATATCTACTTTCGAGAGAATGAACATATTATACACAGTACGATGCTTCCGAATTCTAGAAGGGTAAACTTGATCTCTTGAGAGATGTTGCTCTTTCAGCCTTCATGCTAAATAAAACATGACTTTGTAGAAGTATTCGTTTCCTCTTTGGAAAGAACTAACTTCGTGCTTTCTTTTTGTCATAAAAGTCAACATGATTTACTTCCTTTGAGTTTTTATGTTCACTTTTATATTGATTCTAGATCTATTCTAATTCATTGAAATCAAAGAGTATGGTAGAAAAAATTCAACACATGCTTGATGTTATAATGGAAATGAATTGAATTGAATGAAAAAAAAATAGAACTATGTAACTTACAAATTTCATTATATCTGTAGTACATCTAATTCATCATGAAAAGAATTCATATTTTGTTTTTCATGATATCTAGAGTTTGTGAATTTTGTATGATCATTTTTAACAGTAAGTGTTATTTCTGTAATCAAATCAGATCTCTTACTCAGGATGATTCGTGAGTAGGAATGTGCGACATCAAATTTGTTGGGTTTCGATGATAGGTCAGTCACGATTATTTGTATCGTATTTAAAATAATTCATAAATACTCGATTTCTTCATTTATTTTGCTCGACGATTAGAGCGTTTTTCTGTCATTTCTCCATGAAGATGAGTTTCAACATTAGTCTCAGAAATTTTCAATTGCTATCGCTACGTACATTTCTATTCGTCAGATAGAAATGTACTGTTTGTTTTATCATAAATTGCTAACAATTGCTGATTCAAAAGAGATAAAGACTTCTTCTTCTTCTTCATCTTATCAAAATCTAGTTCTGACTCTCATCTATTAGTATAATGAAATGGAAGTATTAGCTCTTAATGGTTTCTAAAAGTGTCTTCATATGAATACCTGTCAAAAGTAGAGGAGAGTACTCATTAACTTTACAAGCTTGTTTATCTTTTGAAGAGTCACAAATTTGTATTTATTAAAGAATATCAAGTTGAATAGGTGACAAAAAAGTCATACGAATTAAATAAGTATCAGAAAATGTCAAAAGTCTTTGATGGAATCAAAGACTTACTATTCATCTTTATACATTATAGTAGCAATAAGAAAAAAAGAAACATGCTAAAAATGAGAACGAAAGCATCACAATTGACATTGATTTATTTATGACATATCCATTATTTCCTACAGTGCTAGTTTGATTATTACTACGTTGACTTGTCGATGTCCCTAATGAACCTGTTGTTGTTTCTGTTACTGGAAAATTGACGTTTGAGTTAATAAATGAAATAAAATAGGATACTCGTGTGTATAATCCTAGAAATCCTATTTCAGCACATCCATTACCCGATGACGATAATCCTGCTAATATCCAACGATTATTAACAAAAGCCATTAATGGACCTCCACTGTCACCTTGACATGTATCTACAAAAAACAAATAGAATTATTGTTAATTAAATATAGAAGAAAAACTTACCTTTACCACCAGCAATAACTCCTGCACAAAATTGCACAGATGGATTGGCTATTTCTGATACTTGACATTCATATGATGTTGATGAAAATGCTTGAACTGTTACTTGTTGAAGAGAATCAGATCCAAAACGACTGTTCTCGAATAAATCACCCCATCCAATAGCTACAAGATTAGTACCACTTTGAAATGGATCTTCATCTTGTTTTGGTAAACAAATAAAAGCTATTTTAGAATTTGATGATATATCAAGTGGAGAAAACTTTAGAATAGCAATATCATTTGTCCAAACGGTTGAATTATAATCAGAATGCATAATAACATCGATGATTGATCTTCGTTGAATAGTTGTAATTGATGTATAATTTAAATAATTTGTCCCAGCAAGAATTGATAATACAGATATATTATGTATAACATCTTCTACACAATGAGCAGCTGTTACAGCATATTCAGATGTTAAAAGACTTGCACCACATATATGACTGTTTGATTGTTGAAGAGAAACCATCCAACCCCATGCATAATTAGATGCTGCTTCTCCACCAACAATTCGAGATGTAATAGTAGTATTTAATGCTGAACAACCACATGAAATACTAGGATTACATCGATATATAGTACTATATATCAAATTAACAGAAGAAAATATAATGAATATGAATAATAATATTGTAGACATTACTTTTCAAGTTTTACTAATGAATCAAATATTTTCACACTTGTATTACTTGTTTTGGAAGGTCACAGTTCAGTGCATTCAATTATCATAAAATTAATGTAGTTTTTTTTTTTTTTTATTCGAATGATTTAGTCAAGTCAGTAAGGGAGGAAGGAAAAAAAATACATGCGAACCTTAATTATTAGTAAAAGTACATGAAAACATCCCATGCTATCAAGACGAACAACAAAGATACATGAGTAATGAAACTCAGATTCTCACAGTCGTTGAAAGGTAGATAAAAAAACCTGTGTCTCATTCAAATGTAATATGTTCCTTCCTTTGACACTTTATGTAGTTTGGACTGAATATGAAATATCTTATATTACATTTCGTCTTTTTTTCTTCCTATGCAAATGTGTTTTTCTCTTTCATATAAGAACAGTAGTGACGCATGATATTCTGTAATTATGTATACTGGAAGAAAAACATTTTTTAATGAAGAAAAAAACTAATCTGAAAATAAAAAAAGAAAGACTTTTTGTTAATTATTTGTGTTTAATAAATGTTCATGTATAACCTTCTCGGGTCATATGCAAGTATTGGAAATATTCACACATTCTTAACGAGTGTATTCATCAATATCGTACTTAGTCTTGTGCAATATGTTTATGCATTTATGGGTGGACTGGGACTGTTTCGAGTTTGATAAGATTTGAAGAGGTCGATGACTCAGTTAGTGTCCTGCGCGGATATGATTTTTCGAAATCGAACTCGAATCGAAGCCTATCGACATCAGAAAAATACTTTTAATACGTTTTGTTGATGCTGAAGATATTGAGATGAAATGCAGTGTTAGTGTCAAGTGATGAATTTTATTAAAATTAAACTTTTTAAATAAAAAAATATGACTTGCTACTACTATGACCTATTTCTCAAGTACCATCTATTGCTTAGAATTAAATTATTAACTTAAGTAAACGAAATCAAATTCTCGAAGATAATTATCATAAGATAAAATCATTAAATGAATATCTAATCACAACACAAACTTTTTAATTTGTTTTAGTTCTTTTATGTTGCAGAAAATTCTAAACGATTCAAAAGTAATTCAATAAAATTGAAAATATTTTCTAACACTTTAAAATCTGTTATCTTATTAAATATGATAAATCGTATATTTCACTACTGCATTCAATGTTATCAAAACTTCATAGCTTTTGCTGGATTGACCTCAAAAGACAATATTGGGTGAACTTTTCGCTGATGCATGTGATTGAACACAATATTATACTTATTTTTTATTAAGATAAAAAAAAAATCTTCCGAGCTGAAAGAGGTTTTCTCAGCGTAATCCTTCAAGTTATATAAGACGAAATAGATCACAATTACTTACAATCATTAATAATTATGAAGATGTTATGATTTAAAAAAATGATTCATCAATACACATACAATTTAGCTTACACATTCTGTTCTTTCTTTTTGTTGTTTTAATAAAAGCGTATTATTAATAATTCCATTTTCAATTATTTTTGCTTTTCATTGACTATTCTATATATATCTATATTATAATCGTCACCAAATAGTTATCAACTAGTTGAAGTATATACAATTTTTACTAACTATAGGGCACTATCGTATGCCTAAGGTTGTATATGCAGATGTATGCACCCGTTGTGTCGTTTCTTTTGATCTTTTTATTCTTCGACTTGTTTATTTTTGCCTATTGTTGTTCATTAGCTATTGTGTATATACATGGTGCATCGATCAGTATGGCCATCAATATATACAAACAAACGACTAATGTGTGTGTGTATAACAGCACATCTTTAACCATTTGTCATTTACCCGGCAGAGAAAGAAAAGGAGTGGAACCTGTCGTTTTAATTACTAATAGTTTTATGATAGAAGAAGTAAAAAAATCTATTTTTCAAGGAAATTGAATATATAAAGAAAAACAAAAAGAAAAAGAATTTTTTTCAAAAATCTAATCATCAAATTAATATAAATTTGTCATAGTTCTACGATCCATGATCATCAAAATTTCCGAATAATTTTAAAATACAATAGAGAAATGTTTATCTTTCTGCTAACAATTAAAGAATAGAAAGCTTAAGGCATTTTTTTGAGCTTCCATACGTCTTAACGCTTGATATCTATCGAACAAACAAATCTTCTGAACATATGTAGCAAATAACTTATGGTTTCAACAGATATTATTGTTTAAAACAAAAAGAAAAGAAAAAAACACGAAACACGCACAAATACAAAGAAATTTTGTGGAATGTATATGATTTAAATATATATATATATATAGAAAGAAATATCTATCGAGTTTTGTCATTTAATAAATCAATATCTTTTTTATTTTCAATAGAATTTGTCATTGGTTTGTCACATAATTTATTCATTTCAGTAAGATAATTTTGTAATGCTGACATTGCACCAATAATTGCTGGTGTACCAAAACCATGTGTTATAAGAGAAAAATTTGTTAAATGTCGTTGAAATGATATATCAAGAACAGATGCTAAACGACTATTTGTACCTAATGGTGAACGATCTTGTGCTAATAAATCAGTAAATTCTTTAACTAATTGTCTAAAACAAAGCAAAGCAAAACAACAACATAATAAATTTTACAATAAAAAATTAAAGAAATTTTTACTTAGCAGCAAGAATATTTTGTTTACGTTTTGTTATTGCCGATGGATCTTGTAAATGATTTATTGTATGATATTGACGTGTTGTATATTCTGCACATTGTCGTGATGGAAATTCTTGATCACATACATAATGAAAATCACGTGCTAAATGTGCAGCTTCACCTTCAACAAGTGATGTTAATAATGTAACTGTAGCTGCTTTACGTCGTCCAGCTGGTAAATTAACACCAATTTTTTCAAGTTTTTCACGTAATAATCTTCCACCATTTTTTGATTTTGCTCTTAACAATAACAAAACAAAAAGAAAAAAAGAAACTATGTCATATGAAATAGATTTAACAAAAAAAATTTGTTTTTTTTTTTAGTAGAAAAATTTACCTTCGTAAAATACCACCAAGTAAAGATGCATTAAGACATTCTGGTGGTGAAAGACGTCGTTGAACTTCAGCTACACTAACTTTATATTTTGAATTTGAACTAAGTAAAGATAATCGTCCAGGTACACTACAAAATACATCTGCTGGAGCAATAGGTCGATTGCCAGCACCTAAATTCAATTGAATACCTTCTTTTGTATCACCACGACGTAAATCTTTATAAAAAAAAACAAATTTTAATTTAGGAATTTTGTTTTTTTTTGTTGTTATCTTAATTATAATTATTTACCTCGATGAAGTGATGCTCGATAATGTTCAGAAAGTGCTGGTGGAACATTATCATCAAGACTAGGAACCTAAATAATAAATGCAATTGATTTAAAACAAAACAAAAACCCCGAAAAAAGATATTCTAATTACTCGAAAAGCTGCTGTACTAGCTGGATCAGTACCTAATAAACCACTTCGATAAAGCTGTAATGATTCTGGATCAAGTACCATAGCATGACGACTATAATAAGATGCTGCATATTCTGCATAGGCACCATATGGATGAGTTAATGGTGTTGTTGTTGATGTTGTTTCATCAATATTTACACCTGATGAACGAACTAAAGAATTATAAGATTGTGATGTTTGATTATTTGTATATGGAGGTGATGATGATGATGTATAATCAAGATTATGTGAATGATTTGATTGTAGTTGATCAAATGGATGTTGATGTGTTGGATGTGTTACATTTGGAAATGGTGGTGGAAAATATGGTGGTTGAAAATCAATACCACCTGAATTTGATGATGATGGAAGAGGCATTGATGATGTTTGACTAGTTGATCGATCGGAATTATTTGGAACATTTGAATTATTAATAAAATGATTTGATCGATCCTAGATAAAAATAGATATATGATTAATGTAAATCGAATATATCCTATGATCTATAGGCATTAGGAATATAAAAAAAAAATCTTTATTTCTCTCTGTTCTACATATATGTATTACATACAGAACACGGCAAGTCAATTTACCTGCCAGGAATTTTCGGCAAGATGATGATGATGAAGGTGATGAAATGACATGAGACGACCGCTTGCGGATGTGTTCGTACAATGTTTAATGGTATGCACACGCTTGCTGTTCGCACAAACGTAAATCAAGAAAATGTTTCTAGTCCAGAAAAAAAAAGAATGGCTAATGGGCGTTGTTCGATGTATGTATGGATAGGAATGTATGTCGTACCAGTTCCGATGTTTCTATTCGTCCTTATTACTACTTCTGTTGCCTTCGGGATACAAAAAAGAGAGAGAGAGCGAGAAGGAAGAAGAAAGTCGGCATTTCTTTTTCTTTTTGTTCTCCTTGGCTTATTCGGATTGGTTATTGTATAAACTCGAATATGGATTGGTTATGTCAATAAAAATATTAATGTTGATGTTGCTGAAAGTCACGAAGAAAAAAAAAAAGAAAGAATTCAATATCGTTAATACTTTAAAAAGAAACAGACGAGAAAAATGAATGAATAAAGTCTACAATTTTACTGTCTTATTCTATAACAAATGCATAATAAATTATAAGTGTACATGCGCTATTCAGCTCGAGGTACAAAAGATATCAACAACAGAGAAGAAAAAAAAAACGAGAGAAAAAGTTCGTTGATCGTATGGCTGGTGATGCCTTAGGGAATCATCAGATATCATCATCATCATTATTATTATCGATCTTTAGTACTTTGAATGGGTTACATAAACAAAAAAAAAGAAATGTGTGAGCAGCATATAAATGAATGAATGAGTTGAACTACTTAAGCTAATAGGATATTGATTCAAGTATTTAGGTTGCCTGATCCGGCGGCAGTGCCAAGTTTTTTTTTCTTCGTTTTTTTTTAACATTGAGTATAAATTGAAATACATTTGTTGATTTCTTTTGCTCATTTTCTGCTTGACTTGTTAACACCAAAAAGAAAGAAGAAAAATAA